TTGTCTCACGTATTTCAATATTGTATTTCAAGGTAATCAAGGTCTTAGTGTGGTGTGCGTGTCGATCTTTGTACAAAAAAGAATAATCTGTCTCTTGAGGGTGTTGTGTCGCTATTTATAAGAAAGTGGATGTGTGGGAGGTGATGGTGTGCGCCAATTAGAGCGAGACTACCCTTTGGACAGTCCTCCAGGACCCGCTAGCATACCGCCCATCCTGGAAGTCCCAGTTGGCAGGGTGGTGGTACGTCGCGTTGGCGGGGGCATGAGGTCCAAGGGTAGCTCGCTCGTAATGGGTCTTGAACGGTCGGGGCGACGGGGAAGGTTTTATGGCACGGCACTATTTGTCGGATTGTCACGAGTGGGCACCAGGAAGTCATGTGGCGCGCAGAAACTTTATGTTGCTACCGCCATAAATGCTTCCTGGGCCTCGCTGACAGATTAAAAAGAATTAGTTGGCAAAAAAAAGGAAAAGGAAAGGTGTGTAATTCAAAGTCGCCTGAAAGAACGGCCGTGCCATAAACCCAATCCCTAACAGTTCTTTTGTTGGAATCGTGACAGCAAGAACATTGTCGTGTCACAGCGTCTCACTTTGTTTTCGGGGCTGAGCACATGAGGAACCCAACCGCCTGCCTTCTGTGTTCTCCCAAACTTCTTTAAGCGAACGGAAATTGCTTGTTGAGTTACACCAAGTTCCTCAGCGAGTTTCTGCTGCGTCTGAAAAGGAGCTTGGTTCAATAACTGCTCTAATTCCTTGCCATACGCTGTTCCCGACATTTCATTGCGTTCTGCATCAGTAAGATCAAAATTTCCAGTATGAAACTTTTGGTACCGCCTCTTGCACATTCATGGGTCACAGCATTCTCACCTAATGGGGAACAAATCATATCGACATACACCCTCTGTCCCAAAAATAACTGGAATGGCTCTAGTTTAGTGAAAGTAGTTGTGCCATCTGTTAGTCGGAGATTGATTTATGAATCGTCAACTTTTTTTACTAACTGTATGAAACTTTTGGTACCGCCTCTTGCACATTCATGGGTCACAGCATTCTCACCTAATAGGGAACAAATCATATCGACATACACCCTCTGTCCCAAAAATAACCGGAATGGCTCTAGTTTAGCGAAAGTAGTTGTGCCATCTGTTAGTCGGAGATTGATTTATGAATCGTCAACTTTTTTTACTAACCTGTAAAAATTTCATGACATTTCGTTCGTTAGAAGCCAAGATACGACGCATTTTAGTGATAGTAGTTTGTGTACATCGGTCGAAAAATGAATAAAGAATAAAGAATCAACATTAAGTTCTGTGTTAAGAACGGTATAAGTGCTACGAAAATCGCTTATGGAGATAATTGTTTATCACAAACACAAGTTTTTGAGTGGCATCGACGATTTAGAGAGGGCAGAGAGGATGTGGATGACGATAAACGTTCAGGCCGATCAATTGAGACGATGACCGCAGAGAATATCGAAACAGTGCGTGATTTCGTAAAAATTACGAAAAAATCTTCAGTGAGATTCATGCAAATGGAACTTGGAATACCCAAGACGGCGTTTGGTAGGCCGTGTTCGTCGCGTTCGCCCTGAATATCGAGAACCCGGCAATTGGCGATTGTTGCACGATAATGCACCTGCTCATCGTTCATTAATTGTCACTGATTTTTTGATCAAACATCACATTTTTTTGCTTCAACATCCCCCGTATTCATCCGATTTGGTTCCCTGTGACTATTTTCTATTCCCGAAGCTGCATTTGGCGATGAAAGGAAATCGTTTTGCATCAATTGAAGACATTCAACGGTCAACGACGAGCGATCTTAACACCATTCCAATCAACGATATAAAAAAGTCGTTTAATGCACTTCTCGAACGCGCGAATCGCTGTATTTCTGCTGAGGGAGAATATTTCGAATAAATAAAATGATTTTTGTCAAGATTTTTTAACTATTTTTGTTTCTGTATAGCCATTCCGGTTATTTTTGGGACAGAGGGTGTATAGTGTTTGCCGCCCCGAAAGGCATTTGGGTTTCCTCAGACTTCTGTCTTATACACCCGTTCAGCAGAAAATCTACACAACTAGTTAGACACCGCCCCGAGATCGGGCGATGGAAAAATCCAGCCACTCCGCTGAGCGTTTTCAGCGGATGAGCCCTTTCGTTACGTTGTCAGTCAAACCGAGCAAATACCCCGACGTCGTGACTGCCACCGCATCCACGGGGAACCACGGGAAGGCGGACACATCAGTACACGCAAGTACTGCGCTCTGACCCTGTTACAGGCGAAGGATCGTAAGGAAAGGTAATGGTTAGGATGGACGCGAAGATGTTGGGGAAAAGGAGAGGAAAGGTGTTGTCTTTTTGACACTCCTAAAGAGTAGCCTGCACACCCTCACGATTGCGTTCACCGGGCTGCCTAAGCTCAGGGTGGTGGGGTCGCTAATTCCAGCGCGGAGAGGCATCCGCCCCTTGCCAGTGCCGCGTACCAAGCAGTCCGGTACCCCGCTCCGCAAGAAAGCCTTACACCTTATTTTGGAACTTCGCCCAGTCTTGGACACAACGTGCGTTCGAAGCTCAGGATACCGGAGGTTTGCTAGACTCCGGGTGTTCGGAAACACCTCTCTGCGGCCACTGCGCCAATAAACCCAGTACCCCGCTCCGCAAGAAGGCCTTACACCTTATTTTGGAACTTCGCCCAGGATTGGCCGCAACGTACTGCGTTCGAAGCTCAGGATGCCGGAGGTTCGCTAAGCCCCGGGCGCACTGTGACGCCCCCCTGCAGGGAAATCATATCGACAACCTTAGTAGCATTTTTGCTCACTAATCGTTCTTTCTTTACTTCATAAGTACAAAAACACTACCCTTAAAATTTCAAAAGAATCCGTCGCACAGTTTGCGCAGAAAACACTAACAAATTTTCATACGAATTAGTGCTAATCGATTGAGTTTCCTCCTTTAACTGAAACGCCATGATGGAAGCTATTGTTTGTTGAGCTTATGTCTTGAGGAGAGTACAGTTATCTAGTGCGTTTAATAGGTGAAAATTGATACTTTAAAATCCCAATGTGGTGGGAAAAAATGTTTAATTTAAAACAGAATTACAATTGATTAAACATAAAAGCACCGAACTTATTTAAGTCGCATCTGTCTGTGGGTGACCCACGTTGCGTTGCCATAACTTTTTCTCTCTCTAGGTTCCCACAGTTTCTCCATTATTTTTAAAATCTTATTTTGCAGAGGAATTGAATAGTGTTTTTTTCAAATAATTCTGAGGTAGAATGTCGTTAAGACTGAAATTGATTTTTTAACCTTAAATATCGTTGTTTTAATTAGTAATAATAAACATTTTTGGTACATATTCAGAAAACGCACTTTTTCCCCTTTGAAATTATCCCAAGATTAAGTTAGTATCTTTTAGCTATCCAAAAATATTGGGGGCGAAATGATTGCACCTATATCAGTATATTTTATTCGATCTTTCAACACTTTTGTTGCGTCGTGGACTTTGACCAAATGTTATGACCAGGAGTTCTGGCGCAGGTTGATGATAGTTCTCGCTGGTTCGAGGTGGAATGAAACTTGGTTGTTGGGTCAGATGTTTTTTATTAAATGTTTTTCTTTCGGTTCGTTGATGTAGATGTTTGATAGATGATTTGCTTTCGGTTCGTTGATAGATGTTTAGTTGAAATTCGGTTATTCTTTTTCTTGACGATGTGTCTCGTGCACTCGTTTTCAGGTGTGTAGATGTACATATAGGAATTAGGTTGGTTCTGATTGGTGGTTGTGTTATGGAGATGGAAAACATGGTGTGTTCGGCTATTGGTCGACGAAAACTGTGACCTTTTGGGAAACCGAATTTGTTGTAAACAAATTCGATCCCCGGTAACGAATGTTTCATGGTCCCGAGTGTTTTTGGGACCTATTGTCTGAATGTCCACGGGGGGTATATCGCGGTCTTCCGAACGTCGGCACCTCGGTCTGGCGGCCAAATTTGACTAAGTGGCTTATTACTATAATCCGCCGAACCGAGACTTCGATGCGTCCTCGTCAGGTTGCAACAACTTTACCATTTAATACCTTGCAAACGGTTCAACACTGGAAACGAAAACTTTGCAGAAGTCAATTTCTCATATGTACCAATAAATGTGCGATACAAAAAGTGTGCGATTTGACGTGGAATGACTCATACGCACACTCGATAAATATTTTCATTAATTTATTCAGAGCAAGACTTCGCACCAAAAAATGTTACCAAATATTTTCCACCTATTTGTCCATGTAAAAGTATCCGCTTTCATACCATACTCATACTCCGAACATCATACTTATAGTTAGCATTTACATGCAATCAAAGGTTATTTGTTACTAGGACAAAGACACTTCATTCAGCATCTTATGCATTTATTAGAGCCAGAATTAGATAAACCTGCCACTTCGTTACATCTACACAACATATCTTCTATTCTGGAAACGGGAATCAGAGCAACTACTGCAAAGGTAGATGATTTAGACGTACACAGACGGCTTGATGTAAGGTTATTAACATCTTCAGAAAACGAAAGAGGATGGGATGTTTTTATTCTTGATTACAATGTGGGAGGTCCCATTGGAACGATTTTAGAACCCTGTAGATTAACTTCTTACGTGAAGCATGCAAAGATTTCACCCCATGGCAAGGAAGACATACAGAAATGTTTAAAAATTTCAGTGAGGAATACAAAGTTGACGTTCTTTTCGATATGGATCCTGATGGTCGGTTGCAGACAATGATGGATACAGCTTACAAAGAAACATCAACTAGAGTAGTTGAAGTATTAACAAAACAATATCACCTCATCGAGCATTTACATGCAATCAAAGGTTATTTGTTACTAGGACAAGGAACATCATACTCATAGTTACGAATTGCCAAAACGAAGCACGCTGATCGAGATCATTCGGAATATCATTTTCGTAACCATTGCGTCGCATGAGATTAATCAAAATTTTATTATGATTTCAGGACTCGAGGTTTAATCGTGAAATCGATGCTTTAACGGGATACAGAACCAGAGCCCTTTTATGCATGCCGATAAAGGATTGCAACGGAGATGTCATTGGAGTTGCACAAGTGATCAACAAACTCGGTGGCGAAGGTCAATTTACCGCACAGGATGAGAAAGTTTTTGCTGGATATTTGCAATTCTGCGGTATTGGATTAAGGAATGCACAGCTTTATGAGAAAAGTCAATTGGAGGTGAAAAGGAATCAGGTCGGTAAATAAATGTGTGAAACGTTATTCTGTATATTTGCATAATTTGAATATTGGTTGATGGCAAGTAATTCTTTTTTTATAAACTAGTAGCTTTAAATACATATTTCACGGATTATTTCAGGTCCTCTTGGACTTGGCTAGGATGATTTTCGAAGAGCAAAGCACAATAGAACACATGGTCCTAAGGATTTTAACACACACGCAATCTTTGATACAGTGTCAGCGAGTACAGGTTAGCTCATTTTCTCTTGAGTTGCAGACAGCACAGAGAACAAAGAGACAAATGTTTTGACGTAAAATTGAACGTTCTGTCCAGGTTCTCCTTGTGCACAAGGCGTCAAAGGGCAGCTTTTCGCGAGTCTTTGACTTCGAAGCGAACGACCTCACCGGCGAGGATTCTGATTCTCGCACTAGGTGAATGAAGTTTGTAATTGCGTTTTCATTTCTCTTCACTCAATTACCATCAATCATTCAATTTCCTCGGAAACCTTATATCTATTTGATTTTGTTTACACAGTCCATTCGAGAGCAGATTTCCTATAAATGTCGGCATTACTGGTTACGTTGCTACGACTGGCGAGGTAAATGCACTGATTAACAGAACAACATATTATCGCAACGCTTCGTGCGACTTTAGGATTTACAATTAGAAATATCGTACTACAATTCTTTAGACCGTAAATATACCGAATGCCTACGAAGATCCAAGATTCGACCCTTCGGTAGACGATGGTACCGGTTTCAGGCATCGAACTATTCTCTGCATGCCCATCAAGAATTCATCCGGTCAAATCATTGGTGTCATTCAACTGATCAACAAATTTGACGACTTAGCATTCACCAAGAACGACGAAAATTTTGTCGAGGCGTTCGCCATTTTCTGCGGTATGGGCATTCACAATACACATATGTAAGTGTACGACAAATACCCACCGTGTCACTGATGATTAACCTGTTAACTGGGCATGACGAATTAACTTGCCGCTGGATTAACCAGTACTTAAACTATAACACTGTATTTATCGACAGATTTAAAATTTATAAATTGCACAACATAAAATACAAATTAAATGGAGTACTGGTTATGCTAGGGTGGTTTGAAAAGTCCTCCAAGTATGAAGGATTGTTGCTAAGGGCTTGTCATTTTTACTGTATAATATGTAATTATTTGTGTACTAATGTATGCAGTTTCGTGGCTCTGTCGTAACTCTTCTCTCTTTTACAGCTAGTGAAGTGGAGGTATTTGCAATGATGGAGCAGAGATGGATAAACATGGAAAAGGAGCGGCGATCCAATACCTGATGATAAAGGGCCTCGTTTCAAAATTCATTCAAGACCCTTGCAAAAATTATTCAAGGTCCTTGCGAAAATCATTCAAGGTCCTTTATCACCAGGTATTGGATCATTTTTCAGTTTTATTCATCTCTTCTCCATCACTGTAAACACCTCTATTTCACCAGCTGTAAAAGAGAACAAAAAAATGACAGAACCACGAAACTTCGTACGTTGGTGCACAAATGATCACACATTACACAGTAAAAGTTACAAGCACCTATAAACAGTCCTTTATGCTTGAGCCGCGAGCTTTTCAATTCGCTCTTGTACATTTTACTTATTGTTAATTATAAAGTACAAAGATTCAATTTCTGTTTGAAAAGTTAACTCGGTTAATACGTTAATCGATCGGAAAGAATGAATTTTCTAGTATTAATTTCTTTTCGCGATTTGCTTAGGTACGAAAAAGCTGTGATAGCAATGGCCAAACAGAGTGTCACGCTGGAAGTGTTGAGTTACCACGCTTCTGCATCGCTGGAGGATGCACAAAGATTGAGGGTACCTTCAGCTTTTAAGCTTTGACAAGAATTTTAAAGATGAAACAAATTTCTCTTTAGATGCTTATTTTTCGTTTGTATACACTCAGTTTTTATAATAAAAAGTTTCATCGAAGTGTATTACGCTAGAATTTTGTTGCATTAAATTTATAAATTACGTTTGGAAATGATTTCAGAGTTTGAGAGTGCCTTCCGCAGCGCATTTTCAATTGCACGATTTTAAGTTCGACGACATTCACATGGAAGACGATGAAACCTTAACAGCATGTCTTCGAATGTTTTTGGATCTTGATTTCGTCGAACGTTTCCATATCGACTACGACGTCCTTTGTCGTTGGCTTCTTAGCGTAAAAAAGAACTACCGAAATGTCACATACCACAATTGGCGTCACGCGTTCAACGTCGCTCAAATGATGTTTGCAATTTTAACTGTAAGCAAATTTATAGAATTAATCTTACTACATCTAGCTCCAATAGAATTGTATAAAAAAATGAACATGTTCGTTACTTTTCAGGCCACGCAGTGGTGGAAAATTTTTGGGGAAATCGAGTGCCTAGCGTTAATCATTGCTTGTTTATGCCACGATTTAGACCACCGGGGCACGAATAATTCTTTTCAAATCAAGTAAGTGAAAGCATTATATACACAACACGTCTTTACTTCGATAAAAATGTACTTAATAAAAAAAAGGATAATTTCACGGTTTACAGAGCGTCCTCGCCACTGGCGCAACTCTACTCGACGTCAACGATGGAGCATCATCATTTCGACCAGTGTCTTATGATACTAAGTAGCCAAGGAAATCAAATTTTATCGAACTTATCTCCCGAAGAATATTCTCGTGTAGTAAAAGTTCTCGAAGAAGCAATCCTTTCTACTGACCTAGCGGTCTACTTCCGAAAGAGAGGAGCTTTTCTTAGCTTAGCTCAAGGAGGTGGCTACAATTGGGCTTATAGCGATCACCGAGAACTGCTGAGAGGAATGTTGATGACTGTGTGCGATTTAGCGGCTATAACTAAACCTTGGGAAGTCGAGAAAAGAGTAGCCGAATTAGTCAGTAGTGAATTTTTTGAACAAGGAGATATCGAAAGGCGGACTCTCAATATTACTCCCATAGTATGTATTACAGTATTTTTGTATTTAATCGCAACGTAGTACAGTATTGCTGAAATTTTGATATGAGCGTGAAGAAAGTTTCCGATTTTTGTTGGTAAAACAGTTCTTGAAAATTTATACGATAAAACTATACCGAAAAAGAAATTAGACGTACACGTGCGCAATGCTAGCGAGGTTCCCAAAATCAAATATTCCAAAAAACAATACTTCAATTGACAATTACTTTAAGCTGAGTAATTGTCATAGTAGTAATAATAATAAATTCAGTTTTTAATGTTGTGAAACGACGATTGCACCAACTAATGGTATTTGGTAAATGTATATAAAAAGATTTTTGCAAGAAATGTTTAAGTTTTAAAGTATTCTCTTTTACTGTAATTTATCGTGATTCAATACCCCATTTTATAGCCAACATTAAATACTGATACTAACAATTTTTTACATATATTAAAAAATAGTGTATAACATAACACATTTGATCATGATCCAAAAGTAGCATCATTACTCTTATGATATTGCAGGACATTATGAACCGAGAGAAAGAGGATCAACTGCCAATGATGCAAGTTGGCTTCATCGATTCGATTTGCCTCCCTATTTACGAGGTAACTAGTTTCCCATGCTACCGACAATAGTATAATACTGTTGAAGAACAGTCATACTTGTTGCAACAACTTTCCAATTATCTTTAAGTTACGTTATTCGCTGAATAATTGAAATTAACGTATCAGTAAAGCAATATCATAAAGAACGCCAACACGCAATTTAATCATACTTATCGAAAACAATAAGATATCAATGAAAGGATGCGATTGCTGGAAATGATACGAAAACATAAACTAATATGATTTCACATTGTATTATCCTACCACAAAGTTTTGTTGATCGTACATTAAATTAGTTTAGTATATTATATGTGAAAAAAAGGGTTTAATAGTTCAGTACTGTTCACTAAAGAAGCTGTAAACAATTTATTTATTTTCTTTCATTGTACATGACATGGAAATAAAATTATCTCTTGTTTCATGTTATGCTTTTGAAAATTTCAAGAATTGCTGATTTCGCTTGTACTTTTTTACTTCTCATCTTATTAGAGCTGAAATCGACTTGCTGTTTCTAAGTACTTATTTTCATCAAGTTTGTCAACAATAGAATGATTTTAAGGAGCATCTAATTATTTAAACCCTTTTCTTTGACATGTTACAACATGTATGTGTTATACACATATTACAGCGCTAAAATAAATGTTCCTAAACATAAAGTAAATTTGTTTAAATAGGCATTCGCTTTATTATCGGATAAATTGGAACCACTGGTCGACGGTGTTAGAAAAAATAAACAACATTGGCTCGAGGTTGCGGAATCCGGATCTAAGACAGACAACTGCACAAATCACGATAGGACACTGTCGCTGTCTGATAACGAAGAAACTAGCGAACAGGCGGATCAATAGTTGTTCTTTCAACGAGCAAAGGAAAACGTGAAATGGAGATAAATGCACACGAATAAATAGTGTTTACTTCTGTTTCTGGAACGAAGAAAAGTTTTGAAATGAATCAGCAGGTGACGACTGCCGTACATTCACCGAATGTATGAATCTTTGTCTGAATATTAGGTATTACCACCGCCGTGAGTTAATTTATTAATATACATTAACTGTCGCGAAACATTGCTCGCAATGGTGACTCGTGATCGGAACTGCGGAAAGATGTCAGACTTGAAACAGTCCCGACGATTTGATTTTCGTGCGATTCGAAGCTTAAATTTAACACGTACAATTTGTTGTTCCACTACTCCAGTGTCTTGAAATCGAATAGAAAAGTTGTTTCTAGCGAGTTTATCACACACGTTTTGTACATCCGTGGATAAAATAAGAGAAATTAAGGAAACTGAAGGTGATTAGTTTAAGATGATTGAAAAGTTTCGTCCTCTCTTTGGTAATAAAAACAGATCAATCCCGAGATGCTACTCTTGTACCTGATCGTATATTGTACATACACTTACTATGGCAGATCTTTAATGTCCAGAGAGGACGAAGAAGAATGATAGAATACGAAAACCTTGAAGGAATCGCAGAATATTTACCTGTTTTTCATATACGGTTTCCATTACGAATTGAAGACCTGTGGTTTATGACATTTAACGCCTTCATCTGTAGATAAAATTAGGAAAGACTAGCTTCATATTTTACAGTGAATTATACATTACTATTTATAAGTTTTATTTCAAACATAAAATAACGTTGTTATTGGAACTGAGTATATTGATGTTAATAAGATGCGTAAAACGACTTTTTGTTTTTGTAAAATTATTGTCTGAAGTGTGTTTTTTTTTTTCGCTAAAATAAGTGAAATGAGTAGAAAAATGGATCAAAATTTAGAATGTAACCAATTGTCCATAGTTAGGATATCATTTTATCTGATAGTTACGATATAATTATTGCCATTTACGATAAAATATATTGCTTAATCAAAGAGTGACTTTTCTAAACACTGTATATTTATTGCCTTATTGTTATGATATATTACGTTGGTCTATAAGTTCGTGCGGTTTTCTTAGCCTATCGGCTATGTGATATACGTCATTCGATAGTTTTTATTTTCTTCGTTTATGTTACTGTGAATTCTTTCTCCGCTAATAACGAAAAGATTTTTGTTCGAAAACTGAGCATCTCCGGCATATTTTACTTTACGAGTTTAAATCAAATTTGACAATACGGCTCTTCAGGACTTTGGATAAGAAGTTCTCCAGCATGCGCCTTACTCATCGGACCTCGCTCCGGTAGACTGTCACATTTTTCACTCCCTCTAAAATGCTCTAAATACATTTTCCTTTCGAAACGACGTGGAACTGTGAAAATGACTCGAAGATTGTTTCGCGTTAGAAACCGCGGAATTCGTCAAAGAGGGAGTCCAAAAACTATCAGAACGTTAGGAAGAAACTGTGAATAATAGTGGAGAATATGTCATTGATTAATTCGTGTTAAATACTTGTGAAAACACTGAAATTTTGTCATTCGGAAAAACTGCACAAACTTATGGACCAACGTGATATATTAGGAATGTCTGTTTGTTACATTCTGAATGACAGCAGAACACGCTTGTTTTTACATTGTTAACGTGACAAGAAAAATCAAAATGTCAGTAAGAATGGTTTATAAATTGTGTTAAAGAAGAAGCATAACGAAACTATTACCAAAATGCTTACCTTGAGAATACATGGAAATCTTGTTCTTCTATAAAATTACCCAGGTCTTCAATTAACAAGACAGATGATTTTTGAATAATTGCGTAGATGTAAGTAAAGGCGCTGCTGGCCTTGTCTTGGAATTACGTTTCCAGGGAACTTGTCTCCGATTTACGAACGCGTTCGACCAAGAGTCGAGCGTTACGTGTAATTATATAATGTATTCGTAAACCAAAGTGTACATTTATACCAAGATCAACCGCGATCTTTATTACTCGATACGGCAATGATTTTAAATGCTGTTGTGAGTGCTAATTATTACAATTAGTAGTTAGACGTGACCGGAATCAATTTTCTTGTCGCTTATTTTGCTTATCTTGAATGTTTTGTAACATTGTTTAGACCCGGATGATTGTCTTTCTCTTCGTACAAAGCTATCGTTTCAAAGATGACAAATAACATTTAGAAACTATTTATTAAAAAAAGAAGATATACAAATTTTGTCTGCGCAATTTTTTATAGAAAACATTTGTGCATGCTGTCACGTGGTAGTTACTTGAAATCAACATATCATTGAGTGAGATTTTGTTAATGTCGTCGAATATTGTGGCTTATTAGTTATCTTTTGCCTACAGATTCAAAGTTATATACGATACTGGACTGCAAGCTTGAAAAAAAAAAAAAAAAAAGAAACGGAAACATAATGCATTTTTTCGTTTAATTTTCTCAGTTACGCAAATTACATATCGATAGATATTTATTACTAAGTAGAAACGTGGCTTTGCGAAGATGGAAGCAGTTCAGCATTCGTTCGCGTGTGATCGTTACTTATAATTGTAGTTCGTATTTCATATATGTTCCTTTCATTCTTCGAGTGTCTTTTTTTTAAATCCTCGAGTAATTGTCAATTTCAGTGACTCCTGAAATAGGAGCGAAACAGGTGTAAGAAGTGTGATAAAGAGATGTGTATTGCGTGTGTCTGTTAGTGTGAGTGGATGTTACGACGATAAAATCGATATAATGTACAGTTTTCGTGTAAATTATTGATACGTCAAAATGGAGTTGTTTAGTGTGTATGCCGTTTACATTACGATTTAACATATAGTATGAGAGTTATATATTATACTGAACAACATCTAATATATTAAAGCGAGACTAAATTATGTGATACACATATAATCCGCCTATAATCACTTTATTTCACCATTTTTCAATCCTGTCCTACAAACCGAACACTTCATATCAGCAGTTGCAATGCGTATATTGTTACATTCCAGGCGATCTCAAAGATAAATAAATTAATCCTATTTTGAACTACGTACACATGTATAGAAGTGTTTCTAGCCATAAAGTTCATTAGAGTATGTTCCAATTTATGTGGGGAAGAGGTGGGATGAAAGGGACATTGCAAATATCCTAAAAATTACAAATGTGTCCAGGACGATAATCTTTTTTATTTTGTAACAATATTCATCCATGTGCAATCGCGTGCAACTTGAAATTTTTGCAATTTCAAGCATGGCAGTAATGCACGATTGAAGTTTTTCGATATCAAGAGTAAAATTTTTGGTAGGTTCCTGAAACCCTTTGCGAGGTACATACTGTTATTACTGACTAATATGCCATATTTATGAAAGAAACAAAAGAAAAGTTTATGAATGCGACGAATATTTTATTTTTGATCAATCGATTATTTTTTGTTCTTCAATTTGAGGATTATTTTTGTTTTTTAAATAGATGTGCAAGTTTAATGTCAATTTTGTTTTAAATATTTTGGTAATAGCATAGTACTTACGTTCATGAAGAAACAAATCGATAATATTGATTTTAGTACCTGAAGAAATAGTAATTAAAAAAATAATATTAATATTATCCTGTTTTATTACACTGTCCCGTTCAATACAGCCAATTTATGAAAGCGTGTAAACAGCGTGTCATGTGCGGTTCAAGAGATAGGATATATTTTTTTCTTCACAAACGTATGAAATTTTGGCGGGCTCGGCGTTCTACCACTAGTCCACATTATGCGAGTCTGGCACTTCAAGTGTTAACCCTTTGCACTCGAGTGGCGACTGAGAAGGGACATTATTGTTTACCATTTAGTAAATAATTAATCGAGGCTCTCTTAAAGCTGATATTTGACAGAACAACATGTTTATGGGCCTCTCATAAGTATCTAAGCAGTGAAATAGTCTGAACGAGCCAACTTCTAATGAAACGTCTCAAGACTAAACTTCTTGACTAAAGACGTCTCAAAACCTCTATAAGACTACAATTTTGTTCATTCCCTTTCGTTCCGTTGTGGAAACCTCTATAAGTTGAAATAAAACTTACTTTAACTCGAATTATTTGCCACATCTCCTGGTGCATTATTGTACCTCTGTAACTCTTAAATTTACCTCTATAAGTCGAACTTCTATCGCCGTTGCCTCTGCAACTTGAAGTTTATAGCTATGTTCCGTCGCGCAGGTACGGAACGCATGGGGTCTTCGTCGACCGGGTTTATGGCACGCTTGCACGAGAAGGTTATTTTTGAGAACAAAGACGCTTCGTAGCTCCGCGAAAAAATAAGTAATTTCTTACAGAACAATGCCTTTAGAATTTCGACTTTTCCGCGTCCTCGAGAACCGAAGACGTGTCATAAACCAGGTATTACTGAAGGGTCAATCCACACGCGCGTATAATGGCACTCTCGGCCGAGGGTTGACCTGGCGGGAATTTCCGACGCGTCACCGAAGGACAGCGAAGATTCCACGCACCCGCAGGTAGGGCCCCACTCCTTCCAAGGAAAAGCGCGCTAAGGGCGCAATAAAAGGGTGGGTGACACTCAAGGGGCACGTTGATTGGTAATTTGTGCGTATGTGAAAAACCAATCAGCGTGCCTTCTTGCACTTGGCGGGGGAGTCACGGAGGACTCCAGAAAAATTCGGGGATCGAGAAACACATTCGCAAGGATTCTCTCGTGTGAACAACACATTCTTCAGCCATTGAACGAGATACAAGTAGGAGTCGCGATCGAATACTCGAGTTTAAAACAAGTCGTGAATCGTTTTCGTGACGCACTCTAAATTTTCTAACGTTCCGAGCAAGACAAATTTTTGAACTAGTTACCCAAGATTAATTTGGCGGGTAACAGTCGTGAGCGCGAACATTTTGAATAATTAAAGGAGAACGCGACTATGTGTCACAAGATGCCAGAAACTAATCATTCGATATGGTCTTATTTCTTTCTTTCAATTCCCTTATAGCAAGTATAGTAATCCAGCATTCGTCTTATATTTATACAATAAATAATTCACGTTCAAATTGTCAATTTTTCTTTCTTCAAACCGTTACAATTGGAAAATTATCAATCTTCGTACAAAGTTTCTGTATGTCAGAGATAAAGTAACGTACACTACCGGCCAAGAGTTTGGAATCACTGTGCATTGCAAGTTACACAAAAATTGCCAGAAAAAAGTCAGCAGCTTTAAGAATTTTTTAACGAATTTTGTATCATTCAAATCAATCGATATGAGATAAATTGCTATTTATCTCCACAATATCAATATCAAGTCTATGAAAAATTAGTAGCAGATTCAGTACTGACGAAAATTGGGAGGTGATTCGAAACTTTTGGCCGGTAGTGTA